CCATACATACACAAACTCACCTTGCAGCCCTTGCACATACAAACACAGATTCACACAATGCATTCCTTACATACATCAGGACATCCCCCCCACACACACACACCCCTGTGAACAAACTCATTGGTGGAACATGAAGGTGGACCCTGGGACCCAGACCTTGAGCTGTGTAAAGGGTCCTCAAAAAAATGGAGCTGCTTCCCGTTCTCCCAGAACATTGATTTTTGTGACCACAGTTACAAACCGCCCCCAGAGAGCCTGTTCTGCACCAGACCAGTGGAGCCAGACTGCAGCTAGAGCCCATCATCATCCTCATCTGGTTGTAAGTAGGCAATCTAGTATATTATTCGTGGCACTAATCTCTAATTTACCTCACATTAAAGGGACACTATAGTCTCCAGAACCACTGCAGCTTAATGTAGTGGTTCTGGTGTCTATAGCCTGTCCCTGCAGGCCTTTTATTGTAAACACGGCGGCACTGCAGCACTGTGTTAGTTAACATGGCAGATCATATGGGTGGGGCATTGTGATGTCTAGGGCGGTAAAAATCCTTGCACCAGCCCTGCAGACACTGCATCCCTGTGGGCGGACTCGGGGAGGGGACGGGGGACGGGGGACAGACTCGGGTGCAGGCACCGGGGGGGGCAGACCTTGAGCTGTGTCAGGGGCCCCAAAATTTCTGATGGCAGCCCTGGTCATTGCAGTCAGTAGGGTAGTGGCTCCTTATGTTTGCTACCCCTAGGGTCACTGCAAGCTTCCCACAGTCGGTTCTCCGGGGACACGCCTTTGCACAGGGCCGTATACTGGAGCTTCCCAAGGAAGAGAGGCTTAACTCCCCTGGGGCCAAGGGTAAAAACCCTTAAAGTAAGCCATAAAAAAAAAAAATAGTTCTCATTTTGAAAAGACTAATCTGTCCTAGAGATAGGATATGAACAAAAAGACTAGGGTAGGAGGGGGTACTTTTACCCTTGTTTTAATTAGTTCCTGTCTAACTAGGGATAGGGAGGAGCTACCCATTGTTGTGCTGCCATGGATATGGCCAGGAAAATGTTTTACAGAGCTCTGCAGTAATATGCAGTGTGTTATTACAGAGCTATGCAGTAATATGCAGTGTGTTATGACAGATATTTGCAGTAATATGCAGTGTGTTATTACAGAGCTTTGCAGTAATATGCAGTGTGTATAATGTATTACAGTGCTCTGCAGTATAATGCAGTGTGTTATTACAGATATTTGCAGTATAATGCAATGTGTTATTACAGATATTTCAGTAATATGCAGTGTATATAATGTATTACAGAGCTCTGCAGTAATATGCAGTGTGTATAATGTATTACAGTGCTCTGCAGTATAATGCAGTGTGTTATTACAGATATTTGCAATATAATGCAATTTGTTATTACAGATATTTCAGTAATATGCAGTGTGTATTATGTATTACAGAGCTCTGCAGTAATATGCAGTGTGTATAATGTATTACAGTGCTCTGCAGTATAATGCAGTGTGTTATTACAGGTATTTGCAGTACAATGCAGTGTGTTATTACAGATATTTCAGTAATATGCAGTGTGTATAATGTATTACAGTGCTCTGCAGTATAATGCAGTGTGTTATTACAGAACTCTGCAGTAATATGTAGTGTACATAATGTATTACAGAGCTCTGCAGTATAATGCAGTGTGTTATTACAGAGCTCTGCAATGATATGCAGTGTGTATAATGTATTACAGTGCTCTGCAGTAATATGCAGTGTGTTATTACAGTGCTCTGCATTAATTACAGTGCTCTGCAGTAATATGAAGTGTGTTACTACAGGTATCTGCATTAATTACAGTGCTCTGCAGTAATATGGAGTGCATACAAGTGTCCTTTGATTCTATATGAGTGTTTTATAGAATTCTGTGTCCTGTAGCTACTGCCCATAGTTCATCTGCAAAATGTATAATCTATGCAACCAACAAATACCAGTTTTAGTTTTATGATTGTTTGTTAACTTTGTGTTTTGGATAATCTTTTTTCACATATTAGAAATCACAAGAGTTTGTTAGAGCAAAGATTTCTCCCCCCTTTACCATACAGTGTCTTGTTAGACAGGTGTCGTACAGTCCCAGCATTGTCTAACATGTTTCAGTTTCATGTTTGCACATTGACAATGAAAGGAATATGAAACTGACCTCATATAGCTTAGAAAATGATTAAGTAATCAGTGGTATTTTCCGTCTATGAGAAATTCCAGTCTTAGGCCCTCCCCTAAAAGGGGGGGTTAAAGTCATGTGCAGACCTTGTTCTGTGTCTATGTATACATAGTAGCCTATACCTCGCTGTTAGTTCTAAAGTATCGGTGACAGTGACAGGAGTCAATAGGCACCATGCTCCGAATATGCTTGGCATTTCTAATCTTGTGCATCTCTGTTCTGTACTGTTCTGGTAATTCCAATTTTGACTGTAAGTATTACTTTTTATTATTATATATGAGAAGCAGGGACTTTTTAATTAGTTTTAATTAGTGTTAAAGGAAGAAAATATTGCTTTAGCAAAGATTTCTGCCTAGTTCCATTTATCTATGGCATCATATCATTTTTTTATACCTTATCACAGGTATGTAATGTAAACCAGATCTTTCAACGTCATTTTAAGACTACGTAGAGGTGTAATGTCTGCATATAGATGGTTCACATTAGAGCTCACTTTCAATTTTCTCATCACGGGAATTGTAATATTTTTATATGGTATTGTTTAATGTTTGGAAAAAAAACAAGTTCCACAAAATTTTAAAGAATTTTTTACTAATGTGAGATTTGCCGGGAATTCAAAGATGATTCCAAATGAAAGGTCAATACAGAATTAATGCGTAGTGTCTTTTAATCCAGTATTTCAGTTTACATTTTAATATTCCCTTTGAATATCACTTTAGTAAACAACCCCGTAACTTTACCCTGTTTGGAGCAGTTATTCACACTTATCACAAGAAATAAATGTAACTCTGCTAAATGAACATCAGTTATTCCATGGACATCTATGGCAAAACTGCTTTTCAGTCAGACATGCATATTCTTGGTCTTTCTAGGGTTTATTGCTGGATGGAAAATGTGCAAAATGGAAAAAAAAAATGTAAGAATGAAATTCTTTCACTCCACATTTTTTAAAAATTTAAAAAAAAAATTCTAAAGGCATGATGTGCAATTCTTTCTTTTTTGATCAGGAATGTTATGCAATATTTTAGACTGAGATGCAATGTGTTCATTCCAAATTAAATAACCAAGTCAAAGACTTAAAGGAATTAATCTGCAACCACAGCTTGGTGCTGGAAGTTAGTGTTGGGTTTGTACACTCCATACCCGCACTAAGTCTAGCTCCTGAAATAACAAAATATTGCTATAATACAGGAGCTATGGACGGGTAGAATCTTCTACTTACATAGTCACATTTTAGTGTTACATCTTGGATACATGTATCTCTTGCTGGGGACAGACAAATGGCATTTACCCTTTGACATTATAAATTATCATTGTGCTTTAACAGCTTGCAATATACATTTAAATTATGTGTACAGTGCAAAGAAATCTGATGGTGCTATAAAAATAATAAAATAATAATATATTTTATATTTATCTCCCCGTGTGAACAGTTAATGTGAGTGTTATCATTTTTCAGGTATATTTAAAAAATATAACTGTTTAAAATTGTTGTGCTGAAGTAATACCCACCTAAGCAGAGTCCTTTCAGTATATTTGAGTGGGTTCCGCTGTATAAGAATCTCTTTATGATGTTGGTCAACCAACTGGCAAATGTTGGTTCTTCTATTTAACCAAGTAGTTACGGTCCATGCCCTAAGGAAGGTCTGCAAGACACGGGTGTTAAAACGAGTTTAAAAAGCACAAACTGTGCTCACCCCCTCCCAAGCTGTCTGTTTAGAGACATGTTGGAACATGTTTTTCACAAAACTATCCATGAAGAAGGTTGAGTATGTCTGATGTCACTCTCCATTTTTACGAGAGGACATTTCCTGACAGGACCTTGGTCCAAGTGTTTTGTGTGTAACTTTAATGTGGGATTGTCTTCTTTTAAACAATGACTCCCAGCCATGAGTTAGACATGCAATACAAATTGAACTTTACACCTTAGTGTTAAGAAATTATATAGCTGAATATGAATTGAGTGTTGATACATTTAAAACCGAAGTACATCTTTTTTTCACTGGCTTTATTATTAAAACATTATTATTTACTAAAGTCAAAATTGCTGGGAATTTAAAGTAAATTTAAAATTTATGGCCAAAATAGACAAACGGAAAACAGAGTTGGCTTGAAGAATTTTTCTAATTTGGCTATTTTAGTCTACATTTTGGAATTCACTTTGTGAATAAGAGAGTCATTACAATGACTGATGGGCTTGCAGATACTAGTTAAGTGATGGCTTTAATACTGAATATGTGTGATCCAGCATAGATGAGGAATACTCAAAGATAAGGTGGAATGCTCTCGGATATCATATATCTTGGCATCTTTTTGAGCATTAACTTAGAGAAAGTAGAGATTTCCTGCCTCCTCCTAATTAAACCACTAGGGAATGACCAGAAGCCCTTGTCAACATCAACATACCACCTAAGGCAGGGTTGCTCAACTTTTCGAAAGTTGAAGGCCACTTTGCAAATTTGATACACGTCCCTGGCCACACAGTAGACAACATTTATAAAGAATACAATAGCAATTAAGGGAATTAAAGGTTTGGTTAAAGGTACTTTAAAAGACAGTCAGGCCATTGCAGTGCAACTATCTTTTTAACCCTACAATGTAAAACATCGCTGTTTATAGAAATGGCTATGTCTTCATTGCTTCTGAAAAGGGCGAAGATTCTAAATAGGACAATGTTTCTTCCCTTTTCTACATGATTTTGGTAAATTCTAGGACATACACTTTATTAAACTTAATATTAAAGTCTGAGACACACTGAAGGCCAGTGACATACATTTGGGGATGCCTTAGAGTCTCCATTCCATATACAGAGAAGGGGGTTAGTTACAATATGCAGGCACAGAAATCTTAGAATCTTTCTTGGAACTCAGTCTGGAACTAAGACATTGCAGCCACATAGTGAGGAGAGTATTTTATGTATGTCCATCAGGAACCACCCCCGAGTAATGGCATTAAATTCTTTCCACTCATGCCTGTTGAGAAGTTGACATTTTTCGTTTTTACTGGCTCAGCTTCTTAATCAAAACTAACTACATTGCCTTATTTGAATATATTTGTGTTTTTGAACTAAAGGTTCCCGCAGGACATGGGTTGAGCATCCGTGGTCTAAGACAAGCAAATGGGCAGATAAACATAAAATATTGTATCAGTTGAAGGGATTAAACTATTTCAGTTCATGGCAATCCCCTGCTCCTTGTTATGTTCATAAATGTAAAGAAGTTCACATAAAAACATTTCCAGCATTTATCCTGCAATCGTTTTATAAATCAGTCCACCAGAAGTTAATAGAGAAAGCTTGAAAAACAAAACGTAACCTGAACTAGGCACGGTTCCTATAAAAGAAAAAGAAAAACTGAGTTCAGGGTGTACAAACAGGTTTGTGTAGTTTAAAAGCTTATAATAAGTGTTTCCTTGTTTGCCATTCTCTAAGTTATATTCATGTGTATTACTTGTTTTCTCTTTACAGACCGTAGACCCATTAAAGTCAAAATTGATTGTTGTGAATCAGTATCTAAAGCAAGGATTAAAGAAATAGCCACGTTCAAGAGACAATCTGCTGCTGATAAGTGTGTCGAGGCTGTCATGTAAGTACCATATAGCCATATGTATATAATGTATAGTCAAAAATATATGTATTTATTAAATATACATTACATGGATGGATATTCCATATTTTAAGTATCTTAAGTATGGTGTTGTTTCGACCTTCCACTTCTTTTACATTTTTACAACTCATGAGCACCTATCACAATTATATACAGCTCAATCATCTATTTTTTTTTGCCTGTAGAAGAATACAGAAGTTCAGTCAGTTTTGATATACAACTGTGTAATACCTGTAAAGAGTTCAGTTGATGTTTGTATAGGTACATAATATAATATCACAACTTGCCCATAAGCAATGGCTAATGCCAAATGTTTCAACTGCATATTTCCCGTAAAAGTCTCTTCCTCTTCATTAACTATGCAATCTTGATGTTCCAGATTCCATACCAAAAACAACGGGTCCTTCTGCTCTGACCCAAAGGCGAAGTGGGTGAGGAGAACGATTAGGAAGATGGAAAATAAAGGCACCTTAGTACCTAAGGGTGGAAAGAAGGGCGGAAGGAAGGGAGGGAACAATCAAAAGAAGAAAACATCTAACAAAACAAATCCAGTGAGTATGGAAAACCTATTTAGCTGCTTACATTAAGTACATTTTTTTAGCTTAATTTCATACTACAGTACATTTAAATTAAAAATTACAGTTAACATCATTTATCGTATTGTTCGAAAAATAAGATAAGACAGCTTGCTTATGACCGAAACTCTTTGTCAGTCTTGTTATGATGTAAAGTGCTGCAGAATATATAATATGATTGGGAAATTATTAATTCGTAATAATTAATCATCTGATTGTGGCAAAATATTTTTGTATTAATATTGTTCTGCAACCTGTTCTATTCTTTGTTATTACTTTGCTACATGTATATTCCATGCTTTGGACCTGCAAGTTGCATTATTTTGCTACATGTTGTTTCTGTTCCAGCTTAGGACCTGCAGGCTGCATTCTCCCGTATTGTGTATCTCCCAGCTACATGCGTTAGTAATACTGGGAATATAAATGTATTCTGACATACAACAGGATATTCTCACACTTACCAAATATGAGTGTTAAACACCACTTACTGATTGGTTGCAGTTTGAAACATTTTGGAGCAGGCCCTTTCTCAGATGCATTATTTAATAACGTACATTTCACCTATATCTAAAGTTGCCAGCTGAATTGTCTGCATATTGTGCAATTTTCCTGCAAGCATATCTTACATTGAAAAAAGAGCGTGAAAAATACTTTTGAAATGGTTTTTTTCCTTCCATTTCTGCTGGCTCAACTGCATCGAAAACAGGTTCTATTCTTGCAAGCAATTGCTTAAGAGGTGAAGTCTGAGGGCTCGTTTTTCCACATCTATAAATTAAACAAACAGCCAGATCTTACAAAGTTGTGGTTAACGCTGTCCTGAGATATATCTCCAGCGGGGAACTCGCACAAACATGAGTGCTTTTTTCTGAATTCTGTTTGAAGGTGTGAAAACCACAAACACATGTCACAGTGAGATACAGTGTGTCAAACAAGTTTAAGCTACATATGCATTAAGCTCAGACTTGCTCCTTGTTTAGTTTTTGTTTAGAAGACATTAAATAATTTTAAACTTTGGATCGTATAACCTCCAATTAATAATCAAAGTTTCATGCGTTTTGCAACAAATTAATATACATTTTGTAACTGCTAAAGGAAACATTTATGTAACCCTTGTTGTTTCTTTCCTAGACTATGACACCATGAAAATCCAGAAAATTGCTTCTAGACTAGTCATATGAGGGTACAGACCCAGAATGCTTTGCAGTGCAACAGTGATTCAAGGTCACATAGCTTTTCACGTTGAAGAATTCCAAAAACTGCTATTTATGTTTTATTATTGTTTTTTACTGGATATGCATATTTTATGTTTTATATTTTTTCCTATTTATTAAATTATCAGTTCAAATGTTTTTCTAAAGTTAAAATCATGGTTGTTGCTTAACTTGAAGAAGTGTAAGTTTTTACAGAGCAAAGTATTATTATGAAAAGGTATTCACTGGCTTTTTCTTTAGGAGTATGTGCAATATATTCTTTTTTTTATTATTTATTTATTTTTTGCATTTTGTTATTTTACCAAAGTAGCAGAAAATCTATATATTTTCAATAAGGTGTATTAAATGTCTAGACAGATGAGAGGTTTATCTAGGGCGGGGAGGGCAAATTTTGGTCCAGGGACCAAGTGCAGATGGTTCTACTCAGGTGGAGGATGCAATATACTGCATATAGATTTGACAGATTCAGGCTACTGAAGGTTTAAAATGGGGTGCCCAAAAGGTGACTGTAGTTCCTCAACATCTGGGTATCTATTTTTTTGATCACCCATGGTTTAAGATGTGCAACCTCCATCAGTTTAACACGAACAGCATGCAAGCACAATCACAGAAAACTGTGCATTCCTTAGAGATGCAAACTCTGTTTCCTATTGTCTCTACTCGACAAATGACGACTGGTATGGGTTATGTGTGTCATGATCACTGTCTCATTTCACCGTATGGTCACTGGAAACATTCCAAGGACATAATACACATTCAATCCAGCCTGGAAGCCCTATCAGTCATGGATTTAGAATTCACCAGTAAATATCTCAGTACGCCAATCCTGACCTCAATAGCAGTAGAACTCTGTAAATAGACATCCCAACACACCTTTTTAACTTTCAGATAAATGGTTTGAAGCAGCAGCCCACATCCCCCTTGTTAGCTTTTCCAGGTTGGTGGAAAAGGGGGCAGTTGCCCCCTACACCTCTTTCCAAGCTTCCCATGACTGTATTAAATACTGAGAACAATATGCTGGTGTGATCTTCAACGAAATAAGTAGGAGCAGAAAAGAAATAGTTGTATATTTCCTTAGGAATTTGCTTGAATTCTAGGAACTGTATGTTGAAATTCCATCTGTATCCTTTCAAAAGGATGTCCAGGGCTTCAAGCAGTACCGTGGATATATCAGTTTTACAGTGTGATGCAGCAATCATTCAAAATGCTGATATAAGTACTAATATTGCCATTCAACAATAAAAGCATTTTACATGTACACAGTATTCTGTTAATATTCCTGCCCGCTCGTTCGCTCAAATTGCTAGGTGCTCCTGTGAATTTACCCTGTGATATCAGCAAGAACAGGGGCAAATTCATACCAAACACAACCTGTTTGGGAGGATAGAAAGGGAGTTTCTCTACTTCAATATTTAGCTTTTTAGTACCTATAATGGTAATTCAGTAAAGATGTGCCTATTCCAGTAAAATTCTCTTTGCTATAACAGTTGCCAAAAGTTCTGTTTGCTAAGCTCTGCTAGAACCCAGGGATTGGTGGATCAAATGTGTAGGAGAAAAACCAGCAGCATATCAAAAATCTATATTAAAAAAAATTAAAGCATTATACTGAGACTAACTCAACGGTTATGTTGGTGCCACATGAGTGTGAAGGACAGAATTTGGGCCTTATGTTCCAACGGAGAAACAGCTATGAACAAAATGCACTCCTTTTTGAAAGGTTATTTTTTCTTGGCCGATGTCAAAACCATTGTGTGTAAATAAGTCATCATTGACATAGGTAATAATCTGAAACAGAACGATGGATTCTGCCTGAGTTGTCTGTGTGTGACCAACAATAAACATGGGTTTTTTTTAACATCACTGTGTCGAGACCCTTTTTTTATATATTAAAATTGTTAAAAGCAGCTTTCTTTGTAAAATTTTGTTCTGCCCAAGGCAATGGTAAATCTTACGCTACTGTCACCTTTCAATGCCACATGTCTATAGCTAAAACCATTGAGTAAAAACATAATTCTAGATATGGCTAGATTGATTTTCTTCCAAGTTTGCTTTAACGCACGCAAATTACACCTGCCGAGCCAGATGAGATGAGCGATGCTTTCTGACCAAACCAAATCTGTTCTTGAAAACAAGCTCTGAATGAAAATAATTTTTAAGAATTTAAATTATAAGCAATGACTTCAAACAACCAAGGTCATTGTCCCCTGCGTGCAAGATAATAATGTGCGGAGAGGGAGCCTTGATGGAACATTCATTAATAACATTTATAACATTTGACAATTTTAATCTGATAACACACCCCACCAGTAAATTATGCATGATTTAAGACTATGCACAAGATTGATTCCAAAAAAACTTTGTCTCAGCCCTCTTCTGGGCCCTTATTAGACATTAATGTTCCACTACCCACACCACTTTCAATAGATCTGTAAATTAAAAAATATTTAAACGATCAGGTTTCCATCTCCCAATTCTATAAACTACTTCTTTTGATCTGACCAATCAAAGAAAAGTGTGAAGAGATAGCTTTAGCAAACTGATATCTGGTCGGAAGCATACCAGATGAATGCATTTTCATAATTCCCAAACCAAGACTACTGGACGAGCAACCTCTAACGGAAAAATATTGACCCGTTGACCACAGCCTTCTTGATCTGTTTTTGACTTACTAATCCAAAAGATCAATATTTTACCTGTAAAATAAACATCATCCAACTGTAAACCCTAGAGTTTAAATTTACTGTATGATACCATCTCACTTATATGAAGAGACACAAAAAAGGCTAAAACGAAAGCCGCCTTAAATAAAGCCAATTCATATTACAAAAGACAAACAGTTTTCAACACATTCAACAATTACTTCAATAACGTGTAACCAATTGGTCTTCTTTAATTCAGAAACTTAAAGGACCACTATATTGCCAGGAAAACACTCTAATTTTCCTGGCACTATAGGGTCTCTAGGTTCCCCCCACCCTTAGGGTCTAGGGTGAGGAAAGGGTTAAACACATACCTTTTCTCCAGCCCCAGGCTCTCTCGGCAGTGGGGACTCTCTGCCTTCTTTCCTGTCATCGGCTGAATGCGCATGTCATGATTCTCTTTTATTCCAGAAGTTTGGTCCTTAAGGGGTTAAAGCATCTTCTGTAGCCTTTTAATTATTGTTTAAGAACAAAATCATGAACTATCAGATCATTCTTCAATTGTTTAAAAAATTATGTAATATCTGCTAACTTATGGACTATAGAACTTGTACCCAAACCTTTACTCATTAAACTAAACACCAACTTAATAGCAAACTTCAACTGACCCACACATCAGTCTACCTTGTTCACTAAATGAAAGATAAGCCATTAATTCCATGCCGTAACATAGCCAGACCAAGTGGATGGTGTCAAAGCATTATTGAAGTAGTCACCAATCCATCCGAAATTAATTCCAAAATGGATTCTGTCCCAGAAGGTAAAGAAGGAAAATTACCACAACGAGAGTACACCGTCTTAAATTAGAGGAGCAAAGGTTTAACCCCTTAAGGACCAAACTTCTGGAATATAAGGGAATCATGACATGTCACACATGTCATGTGTCCTTAAGGGGTTAAAATTAATATCAGGAAGTATTACTTTACTGAGAGGGTAGTGGATGCATGGAATAGTCTCCCAGCTGAAGTGGTAGGCATAAGGCTATCTTAGATATAAGATAAGGCGAAAGTATTTAGAAAATTGGGTAGACTAGATGGGCCGAATTGGTTCTTTTCTGCGGTCACATTCTATGTTTCTATGAGCCTTTGCCTCCTAAAACCTTGAACCTAAAAATGGGAAAGAACGTCCCCGCTAACAAATTCTGAAATATGTACCATCTTCAAACAAATATTAGAATGCAAGCATAATAACACTACATTTCTTAATAAATTAACCACAAACTTTGATTTTACATGCAAAGAATGAATAACCTTTACTATTGAAAGGTTTTCACAATTAAATAAAATACTATTGTTTGATAAATCATTTCCCTAAATCCAAATGTATAAAACAATCTGAAAATAATGTTACATTATTTGTTTTGCGTGCCTCAAACCATTCCTTTGGCCAAGCATCAACCCCTTGTTTATTTTGTCAGAATATACCAAAATCTTTTTAATGGCCACAGTTACACGAACATAAATGGAAGGTAACTTCTTACCAGATCAAGTCCAAGCAATTCGCCTACAAAATATCTTTCCCATTGGAATAATTATTTTTGAAAAAGCCAAAAGGCAATACTTCACTGACACTTTTTTCTTTAACAACGTGTAATCAATTTTGAATTTCTTGCAATCCTTTCAAACGGAAGTCGACACTCAATAGAAAATAAATCAATAGTGTTTCCAAGAAACTGTAAACAAGCAGGTTTGACTGTTATTTCAGCAGCCAAGGGCATACCAACCTCTTTTCCTAAAGTACAAAAGGTGCTCAATAGGTTTTTACATTCATTATCTTCAACTAAGCCAATAAATAAAAAATCATCTAAATGATGGAGAATTGAAAACAAAACTGACTTAAAACTTGCTAGCCAATCAATAAACATAGAAAATGTCTCAAAATAAAATCAATGAACACATTGGCAAACATTTATTAAAACAATTTTTAACCTTGAAAGAAAAATGCAAAGAATTAAAGCCACTAGGTTGAATAGGCAACAAACGAAGAGCCGACTCAATATCTGCCTTGGCCACCAGAGCCCTCTTCCATAATAATAAATCAAGTGCAATGCATCATCTAATGATGAATAAGATGCTCCAAAAGACTCCTTATCCAATTAATCGTTCAGAGATTCACCCAACAGAAAAGATAAAGGATGAATTAAACGAAAAGAGCCAGGCACCTTTTTAGGCACTAAACCCAAAGGTGACAATCTAAAATTAGGAATTGGGGGCATCTGAAAAAGCCCTCCTATCTAACCTAACCTCAATTCTTTAAAAATGTTCATATTATTTTTATTATTATGATATTTATATAGCGCCATCAAATTCTGCAGTGCTTTACAATGGGTGGACGAACGGACATGTAGTTGTAACCAGACAAGTTGGACACACAGGAACAGAGGGGTTGAGGGCCCTGCTCAATGAGCTTACATGCTAGAGGGCGTGGGGTAAAAGGACACAAAAAGGTAAGGATAATATTAGACTAGTGACAGTTGCAGAAGAGGAATCAGTCAGGAGCTATTAACAGTTTAATTGATACGCTTTTATGAAGAAGTGGGTTTTTAACGATTTTTTGAAGGAGTGGAGACTGAGTGAGCATCTAACGGAGGAGGGAAGCGAGTTCCACAGGAACGGTGCAGCCCTCAAGAAATCTTGAAGGCGAGCATCAGAGGTGGGAGTACGGACAGAAGATAGACGTAAGTCTTCAGCAGATCGTAAGGGCCTAGACGGACATACTTGTGTATAAGGGAGGATAGATAGGTGGGAGCAGCATTATGTAGAGATTTGAAAGCAAGAACCAGAATTTTAAATTGAGCTCTATATTTTAAAGGAAGCCAATGTAGGGACTGACAGAAGGGTGAGGCATGGGAGGTGCGGGCGGACAGGAGGATGAGCCTCGCTGTCGCATTCATTATGGACTGTAACGGCACAAGTTGGGAGCACGTAAGACCACTGAGAAGTGGATTACAGTAGTCAAGGCGAGAAAGGACACTGGAATGGACCAACACCTTAGTCGCATCTGGCGTTAAGTAAGGGCAGATGTGCGCAATATTTTTTTAGATGGAAATGACAGGATTTGGCGATAGATTTAACATGAGGCTTGAACGAGAGGTCGGAGTCAAAGAGAACACCTAGGCAGCGAGCCTGCATGGTGGAGCTGATGGTAGCACCGTTGACTTGGAGGAAGACAGACACAGGAGTAACAACACTTGAGGGAGGAAAGACCAAAATTTCAGTTTTGGTCAAGTTTAGTTTAAGGAAGTGGGCAGCCATCCAGTTAGAAATAGCAGAGAGGCAGTCAGAGACACTAATGCAGAAAGATAAGTCCTGCGCTCACTCCCATTACTGGGCGGCAGCAAAAACTACAGTACACATCAGCCCCAATATGTAGTAAAAACCAAAGAAAAACAAGTTACCTGCGCTCTCTCCTTAATCCCTATGTATTTTTAAACAATGGCCATGAGAGGATAAGCCCACCTGCCAACGTCAAGGTAGACCCCCCAGGAAATACCCCTTTCTGTCTCATTTGAGATCTTTGCCAGATGCTCAAAGAAGCAATGTGAATGGTTAGAGTTAGGACCCGCCTGGGAGGGGTCTGCCTTGACATTGGCAGGTGGGCTTATCCTCTCATGGCCATTGGAGGTAACTAAAAAAACCTCCATTTGTTTAAAAATACATAGGAATTAAGGAGAGAGTGCAGGTAACTTGTTTTTCTTTAGTCAGAGACACTAGTCAATGAGGACGGGGAGAGATCAGGAGAGAACAGGTAGATTTGCGTGTCATATGCATAGAAATTATATTGGAAGCCAAAGGAGCTAATGAGTTTACCAAGGGAGGCAGTATAGATGGAGAACAGTAGGGGACCAACCTATCAAAGACTTAACTGTCTTTCCTCTACCTAAAGCTATGTCTGTGTATATTTCCCTTAAAGGGATACTATAGTCAACAGAAAAACTATAGATTAATGTAGTTGTCCTGGTAAATATAGTCAGTCCCTGCAGGCTTTTTGCTGTAAACACTGCCATTTTAGAGAACAGGCAGTGTTTACATTGCTACATAGGTACACCTCCAGTGGTCACTCCTCAAATGGCCACTGGGGGTGCTTCCTGGAGCAGCACTGACATTCAGCGTCTCCATACTCTGCATGGAGGCACTGAACTTTACCTGCATCCTTGGC